CAGTCTCAGTTTGTTGCCCTCAGTAGAATGCTGTAGCATCATAGCTCACAGCAATCTCAAACTGTTGGGCTCAAGCGATTCTCTTGCCTTAGCCTCCCATGTAGCTGGGACTACAGGTGCCCACCACAACACCTGGCTATTTTTAGAGATGAGGTCTCCCTCTGGCCCAGGCTGGTCTCAAACCTATGAGCTCAGGCAATCCACCTGCCTTGGCCTCCCAGAGTTATTTTTACTTTCTTGTAGAAATGGGGGTCTCACTGTGTTGCCCAGACCAATCTCAAACCATCCCCCATCTTTGGTCTCCCAAGGTGCTGGGATTACAGGCAGGAGCCACAGTGCCTTGCCTAGTGTCCTTTTTTATTTATTTATTTTTTCTCACTCACAGGTTTTTTTCTTTTTTTTGGCCAGGGCTGGGTTTGAACCTGCCACCTCCAACATATGGGGTCGGCACCCTACCCTGTTGAGCCACAGGCGCAGCCCTAGTGTCCTTTTAAAAAGTGAAATCCTTACAGTTGAAGCCAAAGAGTCCCACCTTATACACACACACACACACAGACCATCACCATCACCATTCCCTATCCTGGTCCCTTCCCCAAGCCCTGTAAGTAACCAAGATTAGGAGCGTGGCCTCATTTCTTCCAGATCATTTATATGGTTTTACATACACGTATGTGTACAGGTCGTGGTCCTGGGCTGACACATTTACCCAGAGCCCACAGAGTACCTGATACTGTGTTAGCCCTGGGAGTTCAACATTGGACCAGGTAGACAGTCCATCCCCTTAAAGAGTTGGCCATATATTGTGGGAGGTGGATGTTAAATAAACATGCAAGCAAACTGAGAAATCGTGCCAAGTGCTGGCGTGGTGGTTGGAGAGAATGTCACAGATTCAATTTGGACCATCCCTCTGAGAAGGTGACACTATGGCTCTTAGAGGAACAGGGTCCAGTGAGGGGGGCGGGCTAGTGAGTCCTGTGGAGAGATCTAGGGAGGGGAAGGTGCAGGATGGGGAAGAGTTCAGTGTTGGAGGCGGAGGGTAGGTGTAGGGGACACATAGAGGGGAGAAGAGAAAGAGCAGAGAAAGGCAGAGGACACTATGGGTCCCACCGCGCAGGGCCTGGGGACTGCAGAAGAGGTAGCTCGTTCTGAGTGATAATGAGAAGCCACTGAAGGGCGAGTGACCAGACCTCTGTGTGCCCTCAAAGGACCACTCTGCTATCATATGGCAGTCAAGAGGCAGGTTTCCATGACAGTGGAAGAGAGGAAGAAGTCAAGATGTATTTGAAGGACCTGATGATGAGCTGAGGCAAATCATGAGCGAGGCAAGTGCGAGAACGACTCCCCACCTGCAGAGAAGGAG